AAAAATTTGTCGAAAATTTTTTTAGGTGAATGTCGGTCGAAAAAATCAAATTTCCCCAATTGCCCAAAACACCGTAGATTTCCTAGAAAATTTAATTCCCCGCTCCACTGGAGTCTATGGACACCCACTGGAGAAAGTGTTTTTATCATCACACTCAAAACTCAACTTAATTAGTTTGGCATTAAAGAAAAATTCCGATGCTCCAGAAAGGCCCTAAAAAGATTTTTGAATGTACGCGTGCCTCAAAACGGGCGGGCTCTCATCTTATATCAACCCATGCGTTGTTATGGACCAATATCGAGTTCCCCCAAAAAAATAGTGGATTTTGGGCAAAAAAATCTACTGATTTCTTTGTTGCTGATCGCTTTTTCCATTTTCAGCGTATTCCACCGCTGAAAATCGAAAACCTAATCGAAGACCTTAAAGATGGAACGCGACTTCTGGCTTTGCTCGAAGTGTTGTCTGGTGAAAGACTGGTAAGTCACTCATTTGCTTAAAAAATTGAAGAAATTGTTCTGAAAATTCTCAGCCAGAATTGCCTTGATTGTTTAAAAATATTCCCTTGGTTTTTTCAAAAGCGACCAATTGCGAATGAAACGACCATTAGTTTGAACGAAACCACACTGGTCGAGCGCAAATTTACTTTGCTGTATCGTTGGGACACCCTGTAAGGTTACATAATAAGCATTTCTGGCTGAAACCCATTAATGAACAAAGCAACTTCTCTTGTTCCTGGCAAAAACAAAGCTATAAGTGGATACTTGCACAATAACTGACTTGGTTCATGTGTCTTTGTTCAGCCCGTGGAGAGGGGCCGAGTTCTTCGTCGACCGCACTTCCTCAGCAACGCCAACACAGCTCTTCAGTTCCTGCAGGGGAAACGCATCAAGCTGGTCAACATTAACGCCAGCGACTTGGTGGATGGGAGACCGCCAGTCGTTTTGGGGCTAATCTGGACCATCATCCTGTATTTCCAAGTAAGTGCCATCGACTTCTTTGCCCAGCCAATTGTCATTATTCTACTCTGCGTTGTGATCGACTAATTTTCCTCTAATTTTTCAAAAGCTTCGAAAGGATCGGGGATATTTTTGGGTAAGTGACTGGGCGTTGGGCCTCAGTAGGGGTTGATGGGCTTTTAGAAGTTTTCTTGAAATCGCGCTGCGATTTAACGTAAAATTTCATATACAGTGTGAGTCCCAGAAGAAATGGCTAAATTTATTTGAAATTTAGCAAAACTGACATACACCGAGGGAGGATACACAAGGGAGTGACACTCCCATATAACCAAAGTTCAAAGCGGATTTTGAAAAAAGACTAAGTAGTTGGTTTCTCACTAGTAAAATGTAGTTCTAAGTTTGAAATTTCTCTTCTGCAGCACAAATTGAGACAAAAACTTCGGGAAAACTTCTCTGGAAAGGCCAAAGTTTCTTTTATAAGTTACAGAAATTTCACTTTCGTAGTCAGAGAAGTCGTCGCAGAAAATTTTCAAAACTAGTGGGTTTCTCACTAGTAAAATGTCGATTAAGTCTGAAACCTCTCATCTCCAGCACAAATTTATAGGGAAACTGTGCGAGAACTTGACGGGAAAGAGCAAAGTTTCTTTTATAAGGTTTTTAAGAGAAATTTCACTTTGCCACCGCAGTCAGATATTTCTGAGTTAATTTTCGAAACTACCTGGTTTTTCACTAGTAAAATGTTGGTCTAAATTTGAAATTTCTCATCTTC